CCCTTTGTACGAACAAAAGTAAGAGAAATTTAGGAGAAGAATACGAACATGTTCTTGCATGAGGCCCAATGTTTTTTGTGTTCAGTGCCCTGAGACGACTGTTGTTGTGACTTGGGGATATACAGTATAGATAAACTGAATTGAACTGAAACTGACTTGAACAGGTAAGATACTAACTAATCAAAACCTTTCCACAGAACCCCACCTGAAAAGATCTAAACTTTGTTTTTAACAGCAACATAAGAAATATTTTCAGTGACTTTATAGTAAAATGTACATACGGCCGGCACGCAGATCGTTTCCATTCACAATCCTCAAAGCTGACTTCTGACTGCGCTGCATCTTGCAGACAACTGAGGACCGAGGCGCCCAGATGTGAGGCAGGAGGAACATTTCTGTGGTGCAGTTGACCCTTATGGATGGACTCACATTCCTCCTGTTCAGCTCCAGATAGATTTTGTAGCTGAAAGTCAGAAGTAAAACTGCAAGTAAACAAAACTCTTAAAAGCACTTTGTACACGGGTAGAAGGCAGTTTTTATGGTGTATGTTRGTATATTATGTTTCTGTCATTTCTACCTCCATTCACAGTCAGTGATGTGGCAGTACACCGTCAGGTTGGAGCCCAGCAGAAAGACTGGGGCTGGTTCTATGGTCAGGCTGCCGAGGGGGATGAAGTGCTGACAGTCAGCAGGGAGCAGGGGGCAACCTGAGAGAATGAGCTGATGATTAAAAACAAACTGTCACACAGAAGGAGCCAAGAAAGCTGAACCAACTTTAAACTGAACAGAACCCAACAGTAACTTTTTAAGATTATTTGACTGCTTGTATTGAGGTCTGGGGGAAAGCGTGTCAGACAATTACAAATCCTGTTGTTTTTATTACAGAAAAGATCTGTGAGAATTATTACTGGAAAACATTGTTGTCACCCATCAAATTCATTATTTTGTAAACTGAAAATATTGAAGTTCTTTGATTTGGTTGATTATAATATTCTACAGGTTTTGTATAAAGTCCACAAAAACACATTACCTTTAAACATCCAAGTAAAATTTGTTAAGAGAAAGAGTTGTTATAACCTTAAAGGGACAGAGATGTTTGTAAAACCCAAACTCAGAACTAGTTTGAAGGAACAGTGTACTTTAATTCAAAGAATAAAACTATGAAATAATTTGGGGAGTGATGTAAAAATGCAGGATCATTGTGCACATTTAAGAAAATGATAAAAGTTAGATTGTTAAAGAAATACGTAACAGTWTAATGTGTATCTATATAAATTGTTGTTCTAGAGGGATTAGATGTTCTTGTCTTTTGTTTTGTTAATAACAGATTTTTTTTGTTACATGAACTTATTCTAGAAAAAAGGGGCAGATATAAGATTTTTTTTCTTCGCTCTGCTGCCTTTCATTTCATTTTATTTGTGATTTTGATATACATACATACATACATACAGTACATACATAT